AGAGCCAGAAAGAGCTCCCTTCACTGGTTCACTCCCCAGACCCCCTTCAGTGGCCAGCACTGGGTCCAGCTGCAGCCAGGAACCAGGAATTCCATCTAGGTCTCCCCTGTGGGTGGCGGCAGGGTGAGAGTGTGGGTGAGGGTCAGAGGAAGTGGGTGGCAAGGTAGCGACTGCCTTGGCAATCAATTTGGCTGTTTCTGGAAAAACAAAACATACCCTCAGCTCCGAAATATTTACCTCACTCAAATGCACACGCAAGAGGCAGGGCAGCAACTATCCACGGACTCGGCACCAGCACGCGTGACAACAGTGTCTGCAGTGATTCAGCCGTAAGCGCCCCAAGTCGGAAGCAGCCCTGACATTTCTCAGTAGGTTCACGGGTGAAATGCTGCACCTTACCCAAGGGAAGCCTCAGCACCCAAAGGGGGTGAATAAGCCCCCCCAGGGGTACCCCAAAGGAATGACACTGAGGAAGGGAAGTCGGATGAAAAACAGAATGCCGGAGCTGTCCCCGCATGTGTGACATTCTCAGAAATACAAGCTGCAGCCACACAGTGCATGACGAGGCCTCACGGGATGCCTTGGCACTGTCCCTGGGCACTGTCACACCAGGGGCGCCCTGCCACGGATATGGTCATCCCTGACTGAAATGTCACCAAGAGGCGCGTGAGTATCGTCTCCGTGAGAGCAGAGCAGCCTGAGCGCGGAGAGGCCGAGCGGGGGAGAGCCGGGAAGCAGTCAGGAGAGAAATGGGAGTGAGCTTCGTTACCCTGCCATGCTGACCAAGTTTCCTTTAAGATGCGTGCAAGCTACCGAATGTCAATCACGGCAGCAAAGCTTTGGTGGAACACCACTGACTCATTTCCTTCTAACGAGCTGTGGAGTAGACACTTCAGCAAGGCAACAGAAGCCCAGAGAGGCGGAGCTGCTTGTCTCAGAACACGCAGCTGGGGCCTGAAGCCAGGCCAGCTAAGCCTTCAAGTTCCACGCTCTCAATCATTCCCTATTGGTTATTGTTATTATTATTGTGGTTGTTCTGGAGAGTAGAGTGGGGGAGGGACAGGAGGTGAGAAAGACACGGAAATGTTCCTGAAAAGTCTGACCCTTGTCAGAGTAATGAGGATGGAGTTTGAGGATGAAGGAGAGAGGAAGTTGAATGAGCCAGCCGTAGAGGAGGAGGCTGGCTGGCTGAGACCTCAAGAACCACCGCCCTCCTCAGCGAGGGCCGCCCGAGGTCGGCCAGGAGTACCAGAGTGAGGCTGGGCAGGCAGGGCACCGCGGGAGCCCCAGCTGGTCACGGGCCATGGGGCGACTGTAGCACCTGAAGAAGCTTGCTGACGGCGCGCCTTGGTCATGAAGCGTGAGAGGAGATTGCGCCCAGCAAGCAGCTCTAGGGCCTTTCGGGCTGTGATCAGAAAGAGGCAAAGTGGGTAAGACTCCAGCGTCTCCCTACGGGCCGAGGCCCTCACATCCCAGAGTCTGTGCCCTTCAAGATGGGCATCCCTTAAGTCTGTCCCAGAAAGTCCCGTTTCCTGGCCATGTTCACTGGGCGGGAGCAGACTGCTTAGCCCTTCGCAAAGCTGGTTTCTGTCACTTAGAAGTAAGCAGTTTTTACTTGTTGGGTGGAACACGCATTCTAATTAGTCACCAGCTCGGGCCATTGCATTTGTTCTTCAGAATATCAAACAGGGGCTAAAGATGGTTCCCTCACAGGAAAGCCATCAGGTCCTCCTCTCCCCATCGCCCTGCCTCCCCGCCTGTCCTTGCAGGTACCTGCACTCAGAGGCCCAGTGCTACGGCTGCGGGAGCCCCTCGGCGTGCTGGCTGTCGTGTGCCCGGACGAGTGGCCCCTGCTTGCCTTCGTGTCCCTGCTGGCCCCAGCCCTGGCACACGGCAATGCTGTGGTCTTGGTGCCCAGCATGGCCTGTCCCCTGTTGGCCCTGGAGCTCTGCCAGGTATACCGCCTTTCCACCTGTCCAGCCCTGCATGCAGCAGCCCGAGCCGTGCCCCCAGGACCTGCAGGGAGGCACACTGCAACCCTCCCTGAGAATCCATGCCAGCCCAGTCCCAACACGGGCACCTCCTGCCCCATGCCTTCCAGGAACCTTCCGGCCACTCCTCACCCCTGCCCTCTCCCCTCCTCCAGGAGATGGCCACCCTGCTCCCTGCGGGCCTGGTGAACGTGGTGACAGGAGACCAGGACCACCTGACCCGCTGCCTGGCCCTGCACCAGGACGTGCAGGCCCTGTGGTATTTCGGATCTGCCCAGGTACCCTCTGTCCCTCGTCAGTGTGGGAAGCTCAGGTGACAGTGCGCTCCTGTTCTGAGGCCCTGCCCTGGGGCCCCTTCATGACAAGGAGCGTCCTGCCCAGTGCCTAGTACCCTATTCCAGTGGTTCATCACTGCTCCTCCCCAACCTCCCTCTGGTAACATTCCTTTGAACGTGGGGTCCCATTCCCTTGCACGTGGGTGGTGACTGTCGGAAACTCCCTGGCCACAGGTCAGCCTCTCTGGCCCTGGCCTGCTCCCAGTCACGTGACCTTCGGGGCTCTCTGAGGCACTTAGCACTTGTTCCTAAGGAAGCAGCTGCTTAGCAACGCCTCAAACCCCACACCCAGCTCTAATCCCACTGTCTCCCATCACAGGGCTCCCGGTTTGTGGAGTGGGCCTCCGCAGGAAACCTCAAGCCCGTGTGGGTGAACAGGGGCAGCCCGCGTGCCTGGGAGCAGGAGGCCCAGGGAGCAGGCCCAGAGCTGGGGCTGCGGGCGGCCCGGACCAAGGCCCTGTGGCTGCCCATGGGGGACTGAGTGCTCCATCTTGGACCAAGGAGAGATGGACGCCAACGCACAGATGTCTGGAACTTTCCTGATGTGACTCCCGTGACTTGCAATAAATCTGCCCAACCTTGGCCGTGCGTCTGAGGGGAGGGAGGGGTCGGGCACCCAGGCCTTTGAGCCATGACATTTGGGAGCCCGGTGGGCGGCTCCAAACAGCACAGTGCAGCGCTTGTAAAACAGACAAGGCGCCCCCGGGCGGGCCAGGGCGTTCCGGGGAGTGGGAGGGGAGCCCCTGTGATGGCCTGGGATTCCCGGAGCCGACGCCCCAGGCGCCTTTCCGCCAGCCTCCTCCGGCCTCCATTAGCCAGAGCCAGGTCTGGACTGTACATCCAGTCCCCGCCCGGCCCCCAGGAGGTCAACTCCGATGGGCCATCCTGTGTCAGGTGACCATATCCACAGACGCTGATTGGCTAGCTCCTCAGCTGCTTGCTGTGACAGACCTGGGTGTGGTCCGGGCGCTGAGGTGGCAGTGACTGGAAGTTTCCTCTTGCTGCTGTGTGACCAGTAACCATATGCAGCAGGGTTAAGTCTGCAATGAGCACCTTTCAGACAAGCACACGTTAAGTCCTGGCTGCTCCGCTTCTGATCCTTAGTCCTGCTGGTGGCGTCTAGATTGCCACACACATGAGAAACCCGGGTGTGGTTCCAGGTTCCTGGCTTCCACCAGGGTGCCCCATTAGGCAGGTGTGCCAACTGATGGAAGGTCTCTTTCTCTCCATCACTCAGGCGTAAGAGCTCTGGAGACGGGAAGCTGTTCCCCCACCATGGCAGTGGGGGGGCAGGGCCGCATTCCACTGCTTCCCCTGCTTTGTGCCAGACCCAGCATTCCTTGCCTCAGGGCCCCTTCCTGGGCTCAAGGCCAGCTGTGGCCACCCCAGTTGACCCATCTTTCTCCTCTCTCTGACATCTGCGATGCTGGAGACACCACCCCCGTCCTCACACACACCATTCCCACACCACTCCTGGAATGCGTGATCAGCTCCCAGCTCAAGACTCAGGACTTACTCATCCTGACCAAGTGCCTCTTGCCCTGCAAGGTCTTTGTGGGTTCTGAACATCCCAACAGGGACATCCTTGGGAGCCCTTGTTCTGCCAACACACACACACACACAAATGATGAAAAACAAGTGGACAGTCCCAAAAAGTCATGGCATGTGACCAGGACAGAACCAAGCTGAGCAAAAGGGGGCAGGGCTGGCACAATGGCTCAACTGGCTAATCCTCCCTTTCACATGCCAGGATCCCATATGGGCGCTGGTTCATGTCCCAGCTGCCTCGCTTCCCATCCAGCTCCCTGCCTGTGGCCTGGGAAAGCAGTTGAGGACAGCCCAAAGCCTTGGGACCCTGCACCCATGTGGGAAACCTGGAAGAAGTTCCTGACTCCTGGCTTCGGATTGGTTTGGCTTCGGCCGTTGCGGCCGCTTGGGGAGTGAACCAATGGATGGAAAATCTTTGTCTGTCCTTCTCTCTGTATATCTGCTTTTCCAGTGAAAATAAAATAAATATGAAATAAATAAATAAAAGCTGATTCCTAGCAATTGATGAAACTGATTAGCCCCTTTGAGCGTTCATGTAACCAGCGAGCACCTGCTGCCGGCTGGGCGTTGTTGTGGATGCTGGGGCAGTCAGCAGCATCGTGAGCCCTCTGGAGCCCGTGTCCTCCTGACGGCATGTGATGGTGAAGAAGAACTAAGTGGTGAGGTGTTCTGGCAGGGGAGGAGCAGAGGGTCCAGCGAGCAGGAGGGGTTTTGCCAGGAGGTGTTATGGCAAACAGCTGAATGAGAAGGGAGTCAGCCTGCTCCAGCACGCAGTCAGTGCAAAGGCCCTGGGGCAGGGAGGATGACTCCCAGGTCCCAACCACTGGGGCTGGGATGGAGAGGAGGGGGAGGCCAGGTCGGAGAGATCACAGCAAAGACGAATCGTGCAGAGGGACCTGCTCCTCGTTCTGCACGCCTTGCTTCTGTCCAGCCACAGACATGGGTCTACCCCGATTCACTAAGTATCAGGTATGCCCTCCTGGGGTCCACCCACCTCCAGCACAGAAGACCGCATGGGCTCCAGCTGACACCACCAGGGGGCGCCCTCCCTCCTGCCCTATTTCCACCCTTGCTCACCATCTGCCCCCCCCCCCCAAGAATATTTCCTTTCACTTTCGGTCTCTGGCTGTCACCCAGCTTGACCCTCCACACCCAGCTGGGGCAAGCCTGGTGCGTGAGGGAAACTGGATTTCAGGTCCCTGAGGGGCGGGACTGGGGTCCCCACCTCTGGGACTGGGGGAGCAGGGGTCCCCTGATGGGGGGTGGAGGGTTCCGGGGACCGGACGCCGGGGTTCCTGGAAAGGGAGATGAGGAGTTTTCACCGAAACTGGGGCTCACGCAGGAAGCCTGGGGGAGTGGGAGGCGGAAGCTCAGCCACATCAAGGGGCCGAGGGAGGAGCGGGGAGGTGCCTGGGCGGGAGAGACGCAGGCTGGCGGTCCCAGACTTGCACTTCTGTCCCTTCAAGACCCAGCCACAGGCATGAGGGGCCCCCGGCCGAGATGACAGTGCTGGCGCCAGCCCGGAGCCCAACCGTGCGTATTAGCAGGGGCCACAAGGTGGGGTCATGGGGACGCCTCGTGGAGGTGCACCGGGGTTGCTGTCATGGTGGGGCAGTGGGCAGAGGCAAGCCAAACATGCCCGGGAGCGCACAGAGGAGGATGGAGAGCCACGGAGGGGAGCGGGGCACAGGCGGGACTTGCCAGTGCTGCAGTCGCGTGGGGCTGGAGCAGGGACCGGGTGGACCTTGCACGCAGACCCCCATGCAACGTCCCTTGCAGTGGTTGCTGCTGCTGCTGCTGCTGCTGAGCCCCAGCCTCCGCGGGACCCCGGACTGCTCCTTCGACCACAGCCCCATCTCCTCCAACTTTGCTGTCACCATCAGCAAGCTGGTGAGCCGCCCACCCTCACCCCCAACCCGGCGGGCAGTGCTGGGGTCTGAGGTTCTGCACCTGGGCGCTCCCTGTCCCCTCTCCCTGGGTGTCTGCTCAAGTCTCTGAGTGTACCCCCCCAATTTCAGCCAGGTCTTGTTCCTACCCCCTCCCCCCAGTCTGACTACCTGCTGCAAGACTATCCAGTCACAGTGGCCTCCAACCTGCAAGACGTGAGTCATGATGGGTGGGGCGTGGGATCCAGGTGGGACTGACTGCAGTGGCACCACCGCTGCAGGGACCTGGCTAGCGAGCAAACTCCCTGCCCTGGGCAGCTTCTGCCACAGCCTCTCCTCCCTCAGACCAGGGGTCCAGCCCCTCCTCCCTCACTCCCAGGGGTCCAGCCCCTCCTCCCTCACTCCCAGGGGTCCAGCCCAGCCCCTCATCTCTCAGACCAGGGGTCCAGCCCCTCCTCCCTCACACCCGGGGTCCAGCCCAGCCCCTCATCCCTCAGACCAGGGGTCCAGCCCCTCCTCCCTCAGACCAGGGGTCCAGCCCCTCCTCCCTCAGGCCCAGGGGTCCAGCCCCTCCTCCCCCACACCCGGGGTCCAGCCCCTCCTCCCTCAAGCCCTAGCTCATGGATCCCCCACAGGAAGAGCTCTGCAGGGCACTCTGGCGGCTGGTGCTGGCCCAGCGCTGCCTGGAGCGGCTCAAGGCGGTGGCTGGGGCCAAGATGCTGGTCCTCCTGGAGGCGGTCAACACCGAGATCTACTTTGTAACCTCATGTGCCTTCCAGGTGAGCCCCGCGGGCTGTGTGGGAAGGAGAGAGTGGATCCCCAGCTGCTCCCTGGGGGCTGGAGACCAAGCTGACCCGGCCCCTCCTGGAGATGCCCAAGGCAGCTTGGGTGGTCTGGAGCGGGACCACCCAGCCTCTCGGTCCCCAGGGAGATGGATGGTCAGCATCTCTGGGCCGTGCTGGGCGTGGCCTGCGGGGAAGGAAGGCTGGCTGCTGCGGTCCTGACGTGTCCTCCCCACCCTCAGCCCCTCCCCAGCTGTCTTCGCTTCGTCCAGACCAACATCTCGCACCTCCTGCAGGACACCTCGGCGCAGCTGCTGGCGCTGAAGCCCTGGATTACCCGACGCAATTTCTCCCGCTGCCTGGAGCTGCAGTGTCAGCCGGGTAAAGGCCCCTAGCCCCCCAGCGCAGCCCTCGGAGCTGGGCCCTCGGCTCTTCCCAGCTCCGCGCCCCTCGGAGCTCACCCCGCGCCCGCTGATGCCCCCTCTGGACCTCAGCTAAAAGGAGCCATCCTCACCTGTTTCTCAAGGACAGACCCAGAGAAAGGGGGAGCCGTGGCTTTAAATTTCCCAGGAGCCACGCTTGAAAAGAATTTTTTTCTTTCTTGGAAAAAGCCTACAGGCAGGTCACAAGGATTTTTTTCTTGAGATTCAGGGATTTTTACTTTTTTTTTTTTTTTATCCATCTGAAACAAACGCAGAGCAAGAGAGACACAACGAAAGAGGCCCATCTGCTGGCTTCCTCCCTCAGATGCGACGTTAGCTGATGCCAGCAGCCAGGGCTCCATCCGGGGCTCCTGTGTGTGTGGGTGGCATGGACCCATAGACATGGGCATCGAGAGAGTCAGAGAACCATCCATTGGTTCACCCCCTAGTGGCCGCAATGGCCAGAGCTGCGCCAATCTGAAGCCAAGAACCAGGAGCCTCTCCCAGGTCTCCCACGCGTGTGCAGGGTCCCAAGGCTTTGGGCCGTCCTCGAGTGCTTTTCAAGGTCACAAGCAGGGAGCTGGATTGAAAGTGGAACAGCCAGGACTCGAACCAGTGTCTAAATGAGATGCAGGTTCCAAAGGTAGCGGCTTAACTTGCTACACCATGGTACTTCAGCGCCTTCCCCACCCCCACCCCGAATACTTTTACTGCTTTTTTATTTTTAACGAGTTCTGCAAGGTCCACTTCTCCCTCTATGAAGAGTTAGAACACAGGAAGGCATAGGTTGTTGCATGAATTTTCTTTTTTTGCTTCACTCGCCCAGTCTCCCCGTACTTAACACGAATCGCAATCTGAAAGCTAACCTGGGAACTAGCATTGCTGGACTCCACGGAGCTGGGTCAGACCCTCCCAGCAACCTGCATGTCCCCTCCGTGCCCACGGGCTCCTCCCATCCAAACACAAAGCCCTCACACCTGATCAGGCACAGGCCTCCATCCTGAGCGTCACCCCCGAGTCGTCCCAACCAGCAGCTACAAACCACAGCATCACTTTACATGAGCGGCCGTAAGTCGTCAGGATGTATACAGGAGGGAGGTTGGCACTGCGAGTTAAGCCGCTGCCTGTGACCGTGGCATCCCATATGGGCACCAGTTCCAGTCCCACCTGACTGACTTCCCATCCCGCTCCCTGCTGGTGCAATCCTTGGCCGCCTGCATTCCCATGGAAGACCCGGATGGGGTTCCTGGCTCCCGACTTCAAGCCAGGCCCCAGCCATTGCAGCCATTTAGGATATGAGCTGGTTCCCAAAGGGCTCCCTCTCTGTGATGCTCTGCCTGTCGTCGGATACATAAATAACTGTTTTAAAGTGTTTGGGAGGAGGGTCGGGATCTATATAAACGCCCCACTGATCATGTGAGGCACCGGGCACTCAGGATGGGAGCATGTGCTGGGGTCGGCTGCCCGTGTCCGCAGCCTGGCATGGCCAAGAACTACCGCCCTGGTGATGCTGCCAGCCACTTAGACTCAACGCCAAGCTCAGGTGTGCACGGCGAGAGGGAGGGGTCCGTTCCAGCCGTGCTCCCGGCTGGCCGATGGCCGTCCGCGTGTTTGCATGTCTGTGTCCCAATGTCCCCTCTTGGTGAGGTGAGGTGGTACGTGATCAAAGCCATCGATGACCCCGCGTGAACTTGTGGCTTTCAGCAAGAGCACAGTTCCAAAGAAGGTCACGTTCGAGGGTGCTGGAGTTAGGACCTCAATTTATATGTGATCGCTTTGTAAAAAAGATGTTTTTATGGGCCCAGTGCAAAGGCCTATTACCTAAAACCTCACCTTGCAACTGCCGGGATCCCATAGGGGCGCCAGTTTGTGTCCCAGATGCTCTGCTTCCCATTCAGCTCCCTGCTTATGACCTGGAGAACAAGGGACCATGCACTGGTGTGGGAGACCTGGGGAAAGCTCCTGGCTCCTGGCTTCAGATCAGCTTGGCTCCGGCTGTTGCAGCCATTTAAGGGATGAACCAGCAGATGGGAGATCTTTCCCTGTCTCCTTCTCGCTGTAAGTCTGTCTTTTCTTTCTTTTTTTTTTTTTTTTCTAAAGATTTATTTATTTTTATTGGAAAGTCAGTTATACGGAGAGCAGGAGAGACACAGAGGAAGACCTTCTGTTCGCTGATTCACTTCCCAAGTGGTCGCAACAGCCCTATTTTATTTATTTTAAAAAGAGAGGGGCGGGGCTTGGCACAGTAGCCCAGTGGCTAAGTCCTCATTTTGCATACGCTGGGATCCCATGCGGTGCCGGTTCTAATCCCAGCAGCCCCACTTCCCATCCAGCTCCCTGCTTGTGGGAAAGCAGTCAAGGATGGCCCAAAGCCTTGGGACCCTGCACTCACTCAGAAAAATCTCCTGGCTCCTGGCTTTGGATTGGCTAAGCTCCAGCCTTTGCAGCCACTTGGGAAGTGAACCAGCAGATGGAAGATCTTCCTCTCTGTCTCTCCTCCTCTCTGTAAGTCTGACTTTCCGATACAAATAACTAAATCTTTAAAAGGAGAGAGGGAGAGAACATTTCCCATATGCTGGTTCACTCCCCGAAATGCCTTCAACAGCCGAGCACGGGCCAGGCCAGGCGCCGTGCTCAGTGTCCCTTGCGAGTACAGGGTCCCAAGCACTGGGGGCCGTGAACGCATGGATTCCTGAACTCTAGAAATGAACGTGCTCCATCCTAAACTGGCACGCGGGGCTTGTTGCGCAGCCTGATGGTTACGACCCACGCCCTGCGTCAGGCCCCACGCACAGCTCTGGCCCCCCGGCCCCAGCTTCCTCCAGCCTGGGACACAGCAGATGACAGGCAGCCTGACCCTGTCACACACGTGGGCGACCTGGATGGAGTGCCAGCTCTCAGCTCGGGTCGCGGCCATCGTGGCCGTCAGGGAGTGACCCAGTGTTGGATGGGGACCCTCTCTGTGAGCCGACCCTCGGTAACTGCTGTTGACATTTGATTTTTGTGACACCTTCCCGAGGTAACACAAGTGACTAAACCTATTTTACAGGTGAGGAAACTGAGGCACACAGAAGCCAGCACTGCCAGGCAGGCCTCTCTCCCCTCTCCTGACCACCCCTTCTCCTCTCTCCTCAGAATCCTCCACCCTCCCGCCTCCACGGAGTCCCGGGGCCCTGGAGGCCACAGCGCGGCCGGCGCCTGCTCCGCCCCTGCTGCTGCTGCTGCTCCTGCCCGTGGCCCTCGTGCTGCTGGCCGCGGCCTGGTGCTTGCAATGGCGAAGGGCGAGGTGGAGGATGTCCTACCCTGGGGAGCAGGTGAGCCAGCCGTGGGGGTGCTGTAAAGTGCACCCTACCTCTACACCCCAAGTTGTATTGCTTGTGGGGTACTGACCTGACGGGGTGTTAGCATGTGGTGGGGGCCAGCAAGACCTGGCCAAGGGCGCTGCCGTTCGGAAAACAGGGAGCCATGGCAGGCGTGAGCAGTGAGGGGCCTGGAGAGATCAGGCTGTGGGAAGAGACAGGGGAGACAGGGCGTGAGGGGAGAGGTGGAGCAGAGTCACCTCCTGCCCAAGGAGAGGCAGGGCTGGGGTTCAAAGAAATCAAGCAAGACTCCAAGGAGCGTGAAATGATCTCACTCTGCAGCCAGGCGGCCACCTCTCGCCTTGAACAAGCACCTTGAACAAAATCCGTGAGGGTTTTTATAGCAAGTATCTACGTGAGAATTAGTAGCTACGTGACAGGGGACAAAGCCGTGGTGAGAGGCTTTTCCGTGACACAGAGCAGAAAGCAGGCAGATTGACAAAGTGCGGGCTCAGGACTCCGGCCCTGGCCCTTCAGTGCAGACGGCGGTAAGCAGCAGGCCTGGGGTAGCAGCCTTTCCCTACATCCCCAAACTGCAAGATACCGCCCAGTCCTGTCTGCTTCCGGGTGTTTCAGGAAGCTGAGTTTTCTTGTACCAGGGTGCAGGCGCGTTTCTTTCTGGATGCAGACTTCCAGGCACACAGTCACCTTGACAATCAGCCCTTCCATTCTCCCCTTCTTGTGAATTACGAAGCATGAACATACTGACGCTACAGCAGCATTGTATTATACAGGACACTGCTGGACGCGTGGGCTGTTGTACCAACTGATGCAATGCAGTTGTACTAATGGCAACAATGCCGAGGATAGCAGTAACTAATGCTATAAATGTCTTAAATCTCTTCTTCACTCCATGAAGAATCATGCCAAGGAGGGTGATATTTGGGTTTTCTGTTCAGGGTCTGGACAATCACCTGGCAGCCAAATACCTACATGGGTTACTTATCTATTTATCTATTTATTATTGGAAAGTCAGACAGAGAGGAACATCTTCCGTCCACTGATTCGCTCCCCAAGCTCCATTCATTGATTCACTCTTGGTTGTAACGGCCAGAGCTGCGCCAATCCAAAGACAGGAGCCAGGAACCTCTTCTGGGTCTCCCATGCGGGTGCAGGGTCTCAAGGTTTTGGGCCGTCCTCGACTGCTTTCCCAGGCCACAGGCAGGGACTGGATGGGAAGTAGAGCTGCCAGGATTAGAACCGGCACCCATATGGGATCCTGGGCACTTGCAAGTGCCAGCGTACCGGGCCGTGAGGTATTTTCTCAGTCTTACGAGCCATCGGGCATGACTCCCACATGCATGTCCGCAGCGTTCCTCACAGCCTGTGCAGAGGGGCATGCCATCGGACCTGTCTGATGAGTCTCATTTGATATCATCCCCTCTTCTCCGGGTTTACGAGGTCCCCTGAGATCATGAGGACCTGGCAACCAGATAGTTCATGCACGTATACGGGACTTGGCGCCCGCCCAGGGTGCGGGTCGGTTGAGAGGTGGGTTAGGAATCCAACTCCAATCAGTACCATTGCTTGCCTCAGAGGAGGTTACCGTGGTAACAGCTAGCATCGCCAAGGAAAGCGGTCCAGCGTTCAGAGATTGCCTCCTTTCTCGGCTGTCTGTGCCTTCTTGTGCGAGTCGTTTTAGTTGACCCTAGGCAGGCAAATTAGCTAGTCGGGTATTTCTAGAAGTTACAGGGACAGGTAAGGACAAAGCTCGCACCCCAGCCACGGGGCTCCGTATCTCCAATGTTAAACCTGTGCCTTCTCTTCCTCCCTCTCCGGCGTTCTCCAGTGTCTGCACCCAAAACCTCACCCCAAACCCTTCCGTCCGCTTTTCCGTGAGTCTGTTTCCTGTCTGTCTGTGGAGATGGAGAGTGCTAAAGCGCATTTACTGTGGTGCTCCATCTTCTGAATAATGCTTTCATTGGTTTGTGTTTAGGTACTTGGGGTTCCTTCTCCTCTTTTTTTTTGCTTTAAAAAGAGTATTTTTAATGTAGCATGGGAACATTCAACAATGGCTTGATATTAAGAATTATAAGGAATACCAGTGAAAGGGCTAATGTTATATTGTTGTTAAAATGTTAGATTTTTTTTAGTCGTTTCACATTTATTTATTTATTTATTTTTAATGTTAAATATTTTTCAGATTTATAAACTGGCTCATTATCTGTCTTTATGGTTTTAGAAAAGTTTTTTTTGGACTTTTTAAAAAGATTTATTTTTATTGGAAAGTCAGATACATAAAGAGGAGGAGAGACAGAGAGGAAGATCTTCCATCAATGGTTCACTCCCCAAGCAACTGCAACAGCTGGAGCAGCGCCAATCTGAAGCCAGGAGCCAGGAACTTCCTCTAGCTCTCCCACGCGGGTGCAGGGTCCCAAGGCTTTGGGCCGTCCTCGACTGCTTTCCCAGGCCACAGGCAGGGAGCTGGATGGGAAGTGGAGCTGCCGAGATTAGAACTAGCACTCATATGGGATCGTGGACATGCAAGGCAAGGACCTTAACCACTACGCTATCGTGCCAGGCCCCAGCAAACCCTTTTTATTATCTATTTATTAGTATTAAAAAATGACTGTCTGTTTAGTGTGCACATTCAACAAGTCTGGGCCACCAGGTTGCTTACACTCGGGGAAAATATATGAAAAGTATCAAACAGCAGTTTTAAAAAACAGTTTCCCAAAAGTCTAATGAAATGCCTGCTACAAGTTGGAGACAGGAGCACAGTTTAACAATTAAAGCTAGGGCCTGGCAAAATAGCCTCGCAGCTAAAATCCTTGCCTTCAATGCATTGGGATCCCACATGGGCGCCAGTTCTAGTCCTGGCAGCTCCACTTCCTGTCTCTCCTCTCTGTATATCTGACTTTCCATTAAAAATAAATAAATCTTTAAAAAAAACTTAAAACTAAACTGTATATTAGAGAAAGCAATGAGAATCAAACCAGAGTAAATATATCAGTGACTTAAAATATTTTAAAATCAGCCTATCAGAAACTTAAGTTACATGAACCAAGGCGTCCAAACCGAGTTAGCAAGCTTAGTCTAGGACACACCGACCAATCAGGTTCAGCGACAGTTTTAGGTCTTAAGACACGTTTGAAAAACTGTAATCAGTTGGTTGAAGTTACTTTATGTCCTTAATGACATAAACTTGTCAAGTTTTTTCAGGTGATATATCAATATTGATAGAACAGAATACAAAACTGGATTATAAGAAAGCTTTTAAGTAATCAGATCCCAAACAACTGTGGCTGGATCCATACAACAAGAGCCATCTGCTTCTCCACAGACCCAAACAAGCTTTTACTTTTGCCCAATCTAAATCTACTAATTGTACCAAGATGACGTATGGCTCATAGAGACAAGCACATTTGCCTTCTAAATATTTTCGTTGTTGTTTCAGAAAACTCAAAAAGCTAGTCCCCAGTAAGGGAAAGGTGTAACATTTCCTCACACACACACTGATGCACGCTCACGATTTTGAGATTGTCAGCTAAACTAACTCTAGCTGGCAGCGTGGCATAACCCTGTATTTATTGTGGATTCATGCCTCCTCAGTCTCCAGGGGCACTGAAAGCAGGCAGGGTTTCCAGAAGAGAGCGCCTTTTCCTTTGCAGAATACACACGCGCTCCAGGCGTCTGACTGGCAGCTTCATTTGTGCACCACACACGTAGAATCAGTTCCAACAAAAAGTCAGACATCGAGACAGACAAATGACAGTCACCCAAAAGGCGGACACCTGACGGCCACAGCGATGTCCTCACGGCCTTGCCTCCAGCAGCCAGGCTCCCAAGCCCTGTGACTCCTCAGAATGGCAACTCCCCGGATGCTGCCTTTCAGTAAAGGCCAGTGCAAATGCCGTGACCAGGGTTCCTGGCTCGGCTGCTGGGGCCGTGTTAATCATCACAGTGGCTTCCCCGGACTGCCAAGCCAGGATCTGCAGCTCAGGATGGTCACTGCCCTCTGACTCGGGCCCCAAAATATTGCAGGGAACAAGTAAAATCATGCCAGGGCCAGACGCCATGGCCTAGTGGCCTAAATCCTCGCCTTGAACGAGCCAGGATCCAATATGGGCACCTGTTCTAATCCCGGAAGCACAGCTTGCCATCCAGCGCCCTGCCTGTGGCCTGGGAAAGCAGTCGAGGACGGCTCAAAGCCTTGGGACCCTGCACCCGCCTGGGAGATCAGAAAGAGGATCTGGGCTCCTGGCTTAGGCTCGGTGCAGCTCAGGCCATTGTGGTCACTTGGGGAGTGAATCATGGGACGGAAGATCTTCCTCTCTGTCTCTCCTCTTCTCTATCTGACTTTGCAATAAAAATAAATAAATCTTTAAAACAACAACAACAAGTAAACCCTTGCCAGGCAAATAGGATTTTTTTTGAAAGTCAGATATACAGAGAGGAGGAGACACAGAGAGGAAGATCTTCCATCCGATGATTCACTCCCCAAGCAGCCGCAACAGCTGGAGCCATGCTGATTTCAAACTTGGAGCCCGGAGCTTCCTCTGGGTCTCCCACACGGGGCAGGCTCCTAAGGCTTTGGGCCGTCCTCAACTGCTTGCCCAGGCCACAGGCAGGGAGCTGGATGGGAAGTGGAGCTGCTGGGAGTAAAACTGATATCCCTATGGATGCCAGCGCATGCAAGGCAAAGATTTTAACAGCTAGGCTACTGTGCCAGGCCCTACTTGCCCTCTTCTTCAAGAGCAAAAGGTGCAGTCTGTGACAGGAAATGGAGAGCCTGCAGTTCACACTTTCACAGGAATTCTTCCTCCTTGTTGCTCGGCTCTTGTGCGAGCTCCTAATACCTTTTCTATTCCTTAGAAGTGACACGTCCGCCAGAAGGATGAAACCCACAACAATGCTTAGTAATGAAAGAAAGCGAAGCACTGTACTCAGTCCTTTTACCTCGACTCCAGTTCCCTGCAGCAAACCTGCAGAAGGCGCACACGTTGCTCCCAGACTCAACTAGAATTGCCCATTTTAAATGACGTGCCGAAAGTTTGCTTACCTTGGAGCGTCCGGAGTCGTTTCGCTTTCACTGCCTTTGGCGAGCTGCACACGATGGGCGCCAGTTGTTGGGGTTCAAAGAAATCGAGCAAGACTCCAAGGCACGTGAAATGATCTCACTCTGCAGCCGGGCGGCCACCTCTCGCCTTGAACAAAATCCGTGAGGGTTTTTATAGCAAGTATCTACGTGGGAATGAGTAGCTACGTGACAGGGGACAAAGCCGTGGTGAGAGGCTTTTCCGTGACACAGAGCAGAAAGCAGGCAGATTGACAAAGTGCGGGCTCAGGACTCCGGCCCTGGCCCTTCAGTGCAGATGGCGGTAAGCAGCAGGCCTGGGGTAGCAGCCTTTCCCTACATCCCCAAACTGCAAGATCCCGCCCAGTCCTGTCTGCTTCCGGGTGTTTCAGGAAGCTGAGTTTTCTTGTACCAGGGTGCAGGCGCGTTTCTTTCTGGATGCAGACTTCCAGGCACACAGTCAACTTGACAATTAACTCTTTCAGTCAGGCTTGGCGCAGCCACGGGCATGGTGGCCTTGGGTCTGGCAGGTGAGATGGGGGGCCTGAGGGGCAGCAAGATGGGGTGATCTAATGAGTGAGGGGCTGGAGTGGGACGGCAGCCCGTGGGTAAGCCTTCCACGTGTGACAGAGCGGGCCTTCTGGTCCTTGCAGGTGAGGCTGCACAGGGCGGAGGGCGCAGAGGGAAGCCATGAGGCAGGAGGAACCGGGGGTGGGACAGGAGGGGGCGTCTAGAGGAAGAAGCAGGGGAGGGACCCCAGCGGCTCACACAGGCCAGCGCCCTGGCAGTCCAGGCTTGGTGCTGGGCTTTGCCACAAATAGGCTCACCTCTTCCACAAGCTGCTGCTCTTTATTATTATTACTAGGTAAAGATTCATTTGTTTTACTTGAATTACTGAGCGAGACAGAGCTGGTTCACTCTGTAAATGGTGGCAATAACTGGGGCTGAGCCAATCAGAAGGCAGAGGCTTCCTCTGGGTCTCCCACGCGGGTGCAGGGTCCCAAGGCTTTGGACCACCTTGGACTGCTTTCCCAGGTCACAGGCAGGGAGCTGCATGGGAAGTGGAGCAGGCGGGACACGAACCGGTGCCCATATGGGATGTCAGTGCTGCCGGTGGAGACCTAGACTGTTGCCCCACCACATCCCTCACCCCTGCCTCCCTCGCCAAATGCTGCCCCTCTTGTCCCCACATGGGGAGGGGCAGAGCAGACCCTGGCCCTCGCTCTCCTGCCCTCCTTTCCTCATCCGCACACAAGCCTCCAAAAATAACCCTTCCACCTCAGCCCGCGGCCAAGCGAATGGAAGTAGACCACAAACCACAGGCAATTTAAATTTCCTCTTACCCACATTAACAAAAAAAAGGAAAGGAAAAAGCCATTGTGTTTAATATATGTTATTGTATCAGTGCATTTAAGTTGTCACCTCAACATGCAATCCTTGTGTCTGTTAGTAGCAATAGCATTTGACAGGCAGTTACAGGGCCTGGTGTGGTAGCCTAGTGGCTAAAGTCCTCACCTTGCCTGCACTGGCATCCCATATGGGTGCCAGTTCGTGTCTCAGTTGAAAGCAGTCGAGGACGGCCCAAAGCCTTGGGACCCTGTACCCAAGTGGGAGATCCAGAAGAGGCTCCTGCCTCCTGGCTTCAGATCAGCATGGCTCCAGCCATTGCGGCCGCTTGGGGAGCGAACCATCGGATGGAAGATCTTCCTCTCTTCCTCTCTGTATATCTGACTTCCCTATTTAAAAAATTAAATCTTAGGGTCAGTCAGGCCAAAGCCAGAGACCAGGCGCTGCATCCCGTGGGTGGCAGGGGCCCAGGGCATCGGCCAGCTCCCGGTGCGCTCCAGGCACGGCAGCAGGGAGCCGGCTTGGAACAAGGTTCCACTGTGGGATGCCAGTAGCAGTTTAACATGCTGCCCCACCACACTGTCCCGTCTGTGCTTTTGGGATTACAAGATCGCTCACATTTTTTTTATGCTATGTCTGCAGAATTGTGTGTTTTAAACCTGCAACTCAGAGATTTTTATCAGAAAACACTCCATCTGGGCTTCAATTTCAAGTTGCAAAAGAAGAACCTCGTGCTCCCGTTGTTGGAAACGGTTCTAAGCTTCCCAATGACTGCAGGGAGAGACAGTTTCTACATTTGTAAACTATCAGACTTATATCTTACCAGTGGTTTTTTTTTTTTTCAAAATTATGATTTCTCTGGGGGAGACGTGATCTTGAGTTTTCTTCCACCCTTAGGTGCTGCCTGCCTCTTGAACCACTTTACCAATAATCAAAGTATTTGTTTCCTAAATTTAACTAGGAATGGGAATTGAGTGAGCTGAGACAAGTACCAGGAAGCCTGTTTCCTTGGTTGCTTTGGCCAGCTTGCACGCTCACCTCTTGCCTGTGGCTGGCGGGCACGGTGCCAGCGGGTCACAGCCCAGCTCACTGTGGTCACGGGAGTCCTGGGGAGCAGGGCACAGCCCTGGTACACAGCAGGTGTCTGCGGAGGTGCCAGGCCAGACCCGACCACAGCCTTCCTGCTTGCCCCTTGCCACCTCCACCAGCCCAGCGGGACAGACATGTTTCTGATGTTCTTTTGCAGGACAGGCCACTGAGGCATCCCCTGCCAGAGGATCCACCGCCCGGACCAGCAGCACCAAGAGACCGGAGGCTGGAGGCCGGCTCCTTCGCCCTCTGCCCAGCATGGAGGCCACGCCAGGACCCAGCCCCAGCAGTGTCGCTCGCCCCGCTCTGTGCAGAGCCCCTTCCCCCGTGACTCTGGACATAAACCCCCCTTCCCGATCTGCCCTGGCCAGGCCTGTCTGTGGTTGACATGGGGGTGGGATGAGTGTGGGGCCTTTTGGTCTCCAAGTCTTGGGTTTTCCAGCAAATGCAATGCCCTTGTGGGCCCCAGGGCCGGCGCGGGGCAACGCTGGACCTCGGATGGGAGGCAGCAACTGCACGGGATCCTAGAAGACAACGGGGACCCTTGGGATGGGGTGGCCTGGGCTGCCTGGCCTCACCAGCAGGCGTCGTGTTCCCCCACCCCGGCCCGGCCAGGCTGCGCTGCCAGCGACACCCTGGGCGGGGGCAGAACTGGGGTTCAGCTCGCCGGGGTGGCCCCCACGGGGACGTCGCAGGGAGGCAGGGGTGCAAGGGACCAGGCTGAGGCGAAAGACCCGAACGTCCAGCACCTGGGATGCGCTGCCGCTCGGGGATCGCCTTAGCTTGGCGCCCCCTGCAGGCAGCGCCGCGCTGTGCAGCAGTCGGAGGCCTAAGGGCGGAAGTGACGGAGGGAAGAGGGTGGAAGTGCCTGAGCTGCCCCTCAGAAAGATGGAGGACAGGGCGGCGAGGCCCTCAGCGGCCCCTCTCAAACATGGCTGCGCGGCCGTACCGCCCCACTCGGCGGAGCCGCCTCCGCGCCCCACGTGACCGCCGACCTCTCACAGCGGCGGACGCGCAGTGCGGCCTCCGGATTGGACAGATCGTAAAGGACCCGCCTTCCAGTTCGGCAATACTACGCACGCGCAGAACACTCTAGCCAATAAAATGACAGAACGCTGCCTGGCGTACCCGTGTGGCGTCACTTCTTCCGCCCCTGTTTCGGGGCATAAGAAACCCTGCAGCGAAGCCTCCTTCTTTTTCCCGGCGGCTGCCGAAGATGGCGGAGGGGCAGGTCCGGGGCTGCTGCCGGCCGGGGCGGCGTGGGGCTGGGCGGGCTCCGGCTGGGGACGCGGGGGGCTCGTCGGCCGTCCTCTGCGTGCGCTGGGACACCGCAGGTGGCGGAGAGGAGCGCGGGGGCGGCAGGGGCGGGTCGGGCTGCGGACACGCGTGGCCGCGGCGTGCTGGGGTCCCTCGGGGCGCCACGGGGTCGGCCTCGTGCGCTGGGACGAGGGGTTCTAGCACGAGGCGGGCGGCACCGACATGGTGGGCTTCCTCTGCGCGTGGCAGCGCTGGGCAGGGTCCTCTCGCGCCCCGGTGCAAAGATCGGCTGCGCGCCGAGGTCCCGGGCTCCCGCCCCGGTGGGGTGTGTCCCTGGGGCGCCCGGTTCGGGTCCCGGTCCTGCTCGGGGAGCGCCTCAGGCTGACCGTGCCTCTGAGCTCGCGCCTTGTGCCCCACAGGTCCTGGTGCTGGACGGCCGCGGCCACCTCCTGGGCCGCCTGGCGGCCATCGTGGCCAAGCAGGTGCTGCTGGGTAAGTGTGGCTCGCGGGCTGGCGGGCTGGCGGCAGGTCCGTGATGAGCAACAATCACCATCTTTCGTTTGAGTCTCACGACCGTGAGATGACCCCATGCACCGCTCTGAGACCTGCGGGCCGTGGCCGCCGCTGCCCAGCTCCGGGAGGGGCCGTGGGGGCCGCGGCTGCAGCTGGCCGGCTCCCCTGACCGGCGGCGACGTGTGTGTGGTCTCTTGCAGGCCGCAAGGTGGTTGTCGTACGCTGCGAGGGCATCAACATCTCTGGCAATTTCTACAGAAATAAGCGTAAGCTGGGCCGGTCTGCTGGGTCGGGGTGCTGGAGGAGCCCCCCCAGACCCGCCTCACGCTCTCCCCTCGCTCCCCAGTGAAGTACCTGGCCTTCCTGCGCAAGCGAATGAACACCAACCCCTCCCGGGGACCCTACCACTTCCGGGCCCCCAGCCGCATCTTCTGGCGGACCGTGCGAGGTGAGGGGGTGCCGAGCACGGGGTGGGGTCCAGGCAGGTGGGCGGCCCGGGATGAGGACGTGTCCCACTCGTGTTCGAGTCTCCCGACCATGAGATCACTCTACATGCACTACCATCTGAGGCCGCCCCCTGGCCGGGGCAGGACGGTGGGCAGCGTTGGAGCCCGCTGACCAGCCCGTGTGACCCCTACAGGCATGCTCCCCCACAAGACCAAGCGTGGTCAGGCCGCCCTGGAGCGCCTCAAGGTGTTTGATGGCATCCCGCCCCCCTACGACAAGGTGAGCGGCTTCCCTGCGTGGGCACTGCGTGGGCGCTGCGTGGCCGGCGTCCGTGATGTTCCGCATTACCTACATTGTTTGACCCTCGTGAGAACAACAGTGGCTGAGACGCCACCTGCCCAGCCTGCCTTCCCGACCGCCCTCGCCCCATCTCTAAGCACCGTCTCCTTTTCTGACAGAAAAAGCGGATGGTGGTGCCTGCAGCCCTCAAGGTCGTGCGCCTGAAGCCCACGAGGAAGGTGAGCTGGGAGTTGCCTGCCGTGCGGGGCCTGGGCCTGGCACATGATGTCTGTTTCTCACGATGGTCTGCGGAGGCCACGGGCAATGCCGAGAACGCCTGACGGCTCAGCTGATGCCAGGAGCCCGGGGTGGGGTCACCTTGCTGCGGTCGCTGGCCTGCGTGCGGGACGAGGCCCGCTAGGGAGCAGCGTCAGAAGTGGGGCTGCTCTTGTGGTGCAGGGCTGGGTGTCCTTACGACTCTGTCTTTGCCTCCAGTTTGCCTACCTGGGACGCCTGGCTCACGAGGTTGGCTGGAAGTACCAAGCGGTGACGGCCACGCTGGAGGAGAAGAGGAAGGAGAAGGCCAAGATGCATTACCGCAAGAAGAAGCAGCTCATGGTGCGTGGGGGGCTGGAGCCTCGGGCTGGGCGCGTGGGGGGCTGGGCGCGGGGCTCCCGGACAGCAGCTGACCACCTCTCACCCCACAGAGGCTACGGAAACAGGCCGAAAAGAACGTGGAGAAGAAGATCAACAAGTTCACAGAGGTCCTCAAGACCCACGGCCTCCTGGTCTGAGTCCAATAAAGACTTTGTTGCTCATGCTTGGCCTGGCCTGCCCTTCCTCCATCGCCGCCAGGGTCCAGCATTGCTACTGGCCTCAATGCACACAGGCTGGCCAGGGGCAGAGCCGGGCCATCTTAGCAAAGGTTCGCAGGGCTGAGCTGGAACCCGCACTGCAGGGCAGGCCCCGTTGCGCCTGGGGGGGCTGAGGCCCACCTGATAGCCTGATGGTCCCCCATACTCTGCAGCTGGTAGAATGGGAGGAACGGCCTGGGCACTGTGAGCTTGGTGTTGCACAAGGTTACAAGGTTATTTATTGAAAAGTGGGCAGCTGGTGGGTCACAGGTGCTGCCTCATGACTTCGTGTTCTGTGACCAGAATGAAAATAAATTATTTTTTTAAACGTGTGTCTGCAGTATGTGTCCGCCTGGAGAGGCTTCAAGCTTTACACCAAATCCTATGTACCACCAAGGCCTGCAGTGCCCGGTGCTTGACAAGTTCCAGGAAGCCTCATTCTGATTCAGCTGCAAAGTATGGCCAGCACCTGGCTGGGGGAGGGCCGCAGGGCCCCTTGGGTGTCAGATGGAGGGGCTGCTAGGCATTGTCTGCCAGAGGGAACCTGTGAAGGATGCGGGCATCCACCATGAGCAACAGGGAATTACACATCAGGCTCTTGATACAACGTGGGCAGTGGCAGAGCTGAGCTGGGAGGAAACCCAATGACGCTGGGTTGGAGGGAGGTCTTTGTGGAAATGAGACTTGAGCCTGTTGAATCAGGTGGAAGTTGTTGCCAGGAGTTAACACAAACTGCTGTGTACACCCAATGCTGTGGCTGAGGACCCACTGCTGCTGTAGAACAAAGATGGGCTCTCCTTCAAAAGGCCTGGTCCCCAAGCCCCTCGGCCAGCTCTGTTCCCAGCCCACTGGGGCGTGTGGACATGCTGGGAGGTTCATGTGGGGGTCTCGGGGCGGCCACGCCCGCCTGCACATCGGCGGGAACTGCTATAACACCTGACGCTTCTCGGGTGTGCGCTGCACTGCGGCGGGAGCCCAGTGGGGTGTCCTCCGCTGGCCACGCAGAAGCTGCTGCCCACCTGGCAGCACACCTAAGGTCCCTGTGCCCAGCCTGTACCTCATACCTCACAAATCTGAAGTCACTTATCCACAAGGTTCTTCCAGCGTCTGCACTCGGGAGCTCCAGGGAGCGGGAGTTAATCCTGCCCTTCCCCGTGTTGCAGTATCTGCAGCCCAGCCCCACTGAGGCAGGGTGAGACTGGCACGGAGCCCCCAGCTCTGCCAGCCCGGCTCCCCGACCCCATCCGCTGCAGGCATCTGGGCACGAGGCTGCAGGGCACCCACGGCTCCCCGCAACGTCACAGTGAAACGCACTGGGCCACCTTCACTCTGGGTCTGCTCGGCACCAGCAGAGCGGCTCAACTCTGCCACAGTGGGTCCGCTCCTCTGCAGGCGGGCAGGTTCAGAGCCAGGAGCCAGCCCCATGGAGCAACTGAAACCTGAACCTACTCAGAACGAAGCTTAAAGGTTCTGAGACACAACAAGCGTTTCCAACAGGCCGGCAATGCAGACGGACGGCACGAGACGTTCACTGAGAACCTCGCCCCTCACAAAGATGGCCACCCTGCTTCCCTACCCGGCAGAAAGATGGCGGCAACCATGTCGGCTCGCGCCATGAGGTCCCCGAGTCCCACGTGAACCTGCAGCGCTCGGCACCATGGCGGCCTCCTGAGAACTCTCGCGATAACACACGCAGGCCACGCCTTCCCACCCTGAACGAACGCTTGCTGGGCGCCCGAGAGGGCCTGAGAGTCTCGCGAGAGTCCGCCGCTTCCCACCCCGACTTCTCAGCCGCGCCGGCGCACATCGGAAGACCCCGCCTCCTCTGCGTCACTTCCTCTCCGACCCCCGCTCAGCCCATTAGGAAACCCGGACGGCGGCGCTGCGCTCTCTCTCTTCTTCCGGCGGCCGGGAAGATGGCGGACATTCAGGTACCGTGGCTGGCCCGGCGCGTGGGGCGCGGAGTGTCCGCCTGGCGCGGGGGACCCCGGCTCGGCATGCTGCCCACGGGTGTCCGCCCGGAGCGGGGGACCCCGGCTCGGCGTGCTGCCCACGGGTGTCCGCCTGGCGCGGGGGACCCCGGCTCGGCATGCTGCCCACGGGTGTCCGCGAGCATCATGCGCTGGGCTAGCGGCGTGCAGTCGCGGGGAACGTGTAGCTTTTTTGGAGTGACGAAGTACGGAAAATGGATTTAGGGGGCTCCTCGGGCCTGCAGAGTCCGCCGTGTGCGCACCCGGAGTCCTGCTCCTGGGGTCCCCTGATCACCGGCCGCGTGCCCTCCTCTCGTGTCTGCAGACCGAGCGCGCCTACCAGAAGCAGCCGACCATCTTCCAGAACAAGAAGCGGGTCCTGCTCGGGGAGACCGGCAAGGAGAAGCTCCCGCGCTACTACAAGAACATCGGGCTGGGCTTCAAGACGCCCAAGGAGGTGCGGGGGGCCGCTGGCACTTGCGCTTTGGGGTTCCCTGGGCTGGCCGCCTGAGCGCCCACCTTTCCACTATTTGTTCTTTCAGGCTATTGAGGGCACCTACATCGACAAGAAATGCCCCTTCACCGGAAACGTGTCCATCCGGGGGAGGATCCTGTCGGGTAAGGGGTGTCTGAAGGGGGACCCCGCCCCAGGGCCGCTGGCAGGTGATGTCTGTTATCACGATGGTCTTCGGATGCCCACAGGGGGCACTGCCGACGCAGCCTCTTGGCAGAGCTGATGCCGAAAGCGGACATGGCCAGGGCAGGGGGGGTTGTCCCTGACTCCCTGTCCCAGGAAGGGGAGCCGGGGTCGGGCAGGGGGGTCCTGATGAGTCATCTGTCTCCCCCCCCCCTCCCAGGCGTGGTGACCAAGATGAAGATGCAAAGAACCATTGTCATCCGCCGGGACTACCTGCACTACATCCGCAAGTACAACCGCTTTGAGAAGCGCCACAAGAACATGTCGGTGCACCTGTCGCCCTGCTTCAGGTGAGCGTCCTGCGGCACTGGGCAAAGGGGCGGGGTGCTGCTGCTCCAGGAGCGCCTCCTGCTGGACGGGCGGTTGTGCTGGGCGCCTGGGGGAGGGGGAGGGGTGCCGGGCAGCCCCCCTGAGGACACGGTGCACTCGGCCAACAGGGACGTGCAGATTGGGGACATCGTCACGGTGGGCGAGTGCCGGCCCCTCAGCAAGACGGTGCGCTTCAACGTGCTCAAGGTCACCAAAGCCGCCGGCACCAAGAAGCAGTTCCAGAAGTTCTGAGCTGCCGCTGCCTCTCCCCCGCATGAAATAAAGTTATTTTGCATTGCCAGGCTGCCGTGGGTTCTCTTGCTTGGAGGGCAGAGCTTCCCTGGGACCTGCAGGGTCCCCTAAGGTGGCAGTCGCTCCTCCGGAGGACGCACTGCTTCCCTGAGCACAGCCTGTATGGAGGTGCAGCCACCCCCGGCTCCAGTTGTCCTTGTCACGTTGTAATGTGCAAATAAACAGGCAGGCTGCCCGGGGAGCACCGGTCTCTGTCCAGGTCTACAGAGAGGAAATGATGTGGGCCTGGATCCTCGCAGGCCAACAGGGCAGCAGGCAGGTGCCCCTTCCACTTCATACCGCACTGCAAGGCCAGGTGACCCTCCTGTCCCCTGACAGCCAAGGAGAAGGACCAGGAAGTGAAGCAGAGAGTCTGCTAAGGTGGACCAGATTGGGGGAACACCTGGGCAGTGTGGGTGCTGTTCCTGGGAGTAGCTGGCTGCAGACCAAGGGCCCTAGGAACTTTGGGAAAGGGCGCAGATGGGGAAGGGGTCAGGTAAGGTCAACGGCAAAGATGCCCAAAGCAGAAGAGGGACAGACCACACACCTCGGGCATCCCAGAGTGGAGGTGCACAGGAGCCGCTGCGTCGTCGCTGGCTGGGCGCTGGGGTCCCCAGGTCCCTGAACCCCCAAGCCCGTACCAGCGTCTATTGCTCAGCACCGGTACGAGGGTTGGGAGACAGGGCCGTGAGGAGAGGAGAGAGCTGCTGCAGGCCCCCCAAGCCAGTTCGCTGCCTTTTACCCGGCCGGCAAGGGCGGGGGTTCCTGCCAGAGGAAGTGGCTCCCCGGAGCGGAGGCGCAGGAAGGGGTAGGGACGGGTCAGGGGGGCACCGCCCAGCGGCGAGGGGCTGGGGGCCGGCCCCCTCCAGCCGCAGGTGTTTCCGTCCGGGTGGGGCCGCTGTGTAGACAAAAACAGGGCAGGGTGGAGGGGCTCCCAATGGCTCGATGGGACAGCTCCCAACACCGTGGGGTCTGCCTGCTGCTGTTGTGTGCCCAGTAAGGACTCCAGGCGAGACAAAGACCATGCAGAAGGACCCCGGGGGCACATCCGTGGTCCTGGTAGCAGCCATCGGTCCTTTCTAGTGACAGCCATGGAGCCACCTCTCCCCTCAAACCCCTAAACCCAAGCCTGTCTACACCTGCTGTTGCTGTGCCTGGAAGCCTGGGGACCTCCTTCCTCTTCAACCTGCTCCCACCTGGCAAAGCCGCTGACCTCATGGCTACCGTCTCTGCGGCCAGGAGTCAGGTGAAACCTTGCTGTTTGCTGGCTGTTTCCCACCTGCTGAGTGTCCTCCAGGGGCCAGTGAGGGGACGGGAGCTCCAGTTCCCAGCTCCCCAGCCCCACGCCCACACAGCTTTTGCTGTAGGGCTGTCTCCCAGTCTGGCCCTGAGCCTGTCGGGAGCAGACATGACCACTTGTAGTGTCTGGATTTATCTGTGTGTGGGTGTGTGGGTGGCATGCCCAAGGAACCCTGGTGGCACTGCCAGCTCACAGGGAAGCTCCCCCTAGGCAGATTCTGTATACAGCGGACCCCGGGGTTGGCAGTGAGTGGCAGCATCAGGCCCAGTGCCTGGGGGAAGGCAGGTGCAGGCTGGAATGTCCTGTCCCTCACTGGCGCTGCCCCTGGGGGTGATGGAGTAGCTGAACTTAGTAACCATGACCTCTCTCGCGGGAGTGGCAGGCAGGTGCATTGGCAGGGAGCTGGATTGGAAGCTGAGTGGCCAGGACTCCAGCCAGTGTGACAGGCCTCGCCAGGGGCTGCTAGGCCATAGCGCCAGCACCACCTGCTTATTTTTATTTAAAAGGCAGAGAGGGTGGCAATGGAAGAGACAGGCTGATCTTCCATCTGCTGGTTCACTTCCTAAATGCCCACCACAGCCAGGGCTGGGTTAGGAACTCCCTCCAGATCTTCCACAAGGGTGGTGGGGACCTCAGAACTTGCTGCCCCACTACCCTGGTTCCAAGAACAGGAAGCTGAATGGAAAGCAGACCCAGGAACTCTGAAATGGGATACAGGCATCCCTTGCAAGAGCGCATGCTAGACTCTTCTAGAGCATTCCAGCAGGACACAAGGAGGACATTTTAGGGACATGCTTGTGGCATAGCGAGGTAAGCTGCTAGTGGTGACACCAGCTGGAATCCTGGGTGCCCCACTTCTGAGCCAGCCAGCTGCCCCCCACCTCAGTGCACCGGAGGAGACAGCAGACATAGCCCAAGGACTCGGGTCCCTCTTGGCCACTCGACAGACTGGATGGCTCTCCTGGTTCAGCCTGGCCCATACTGGTAGCTTGTGTAGCCATCTGGGGAGTGAGCCAGAGGACCAAAGAATCTCTCCCGCTTCCCTCTTTGTTGCTGTCTCAGATTACAAAACAAACAAACGAAGCAGGGCAGACTGTAATCTTGAGCTTTCCCGCTGCTGGTGCAAGAGAACAGGTTAAGGGCCCGGCGCGGTGGCGCAAGTGGTTAAGTCCTCGCCTTGCACGCCCGGGATCCCATATGGGCGCCGGTTCTATCCCGGCAGCCCCTCTTCCCTTCCAGCTCCCTGCCTGTGGCCTGGGAAAGCAGTCGAGGACAGCCCAAAGCTTTGGGACCCTGCACCCGCGTGGGAGACCCGGAAGAGGCTCCTGGCTTCGGATCGGCATAGTATCGGCCATTGCGCTCACTTGGGGAGTGAATCATCGGACGGAAGATCTTCCTCTCTGTCTCTCCTCTCTGTATATCCGCCTTTCCAATGAAAAAAATAATAAAAATAAATCTTTAAAAAAAAAAAAGAGAACAGGTTAAAGCTTGCAGGGGATGGTCAGCAGGTAGACAGGGGTCCCAGGCCACACAGAACTGCACCCTGTAAGGAGACCCGGTCCTGGCTCCCACACCTGGGCCCAGCTGTAGCTTCCTGCTGGGCGAGCTCAGCCAGCAAACCTGAATGAGGCTGGGCGTGGCTGTTCAGGTTTGTGCCACCCCAATTCCTGCAAGTGGGGAGCTTGAGGGCGGGGCACTCTTTTGAAGAAGGGAAACCTCGGGCTGCCGGTTCTGATGTTTATCTAATGGTATGCCTCCTGGGATGTCACTGTAGGGTGTGTGGCAGTCATGCACCCCTTCCAGTCAAAGGGCTGGAACAATGGCCTGAAAATGCCAGGCACCACAGGCAGGGTGTGCTAGGAGACAGCCAGAGGACACCCCAAAAAGCCCTTATGCCAGCATGGGCTTTGGGGGCCTTGAGGCCTTTGGGGTCAGGCAGCAGGGACAAAGAGGGAATGTCAAGGCCGGCCCTGAGAGGTCATAGAAGAGGGGTGGGGTCAGGTCATGCATGTCCCAGCAGGCTGGGGAGGACGTCCTAGGGCTGGAGTGCTGGACATTCACACCCGAAACCGGGGCTGGGGGGGGGGACCCCTCACGTGGTCCAAGGGACTTTGCCCACCATGTGAGGTAAGGACTGTGAGATGGGGACTTTATCTAGGATCACCTGCGGGCCACCTGACAGGATCACAAGGGCTCCTCAGAGGGAGGCAGGAGAGCGACACGGTCGGCCCCCCTGCGACTTCCAGAAGCAGCACAGCCCCCCACACTGCACAGAGGGAGTAAGCTAGGTGGACCCAGTGCCTCTGAGAACAGAAACCGGAAGAAAGTGGAAACCTTGCAGCAGGAGGTGAATCGCATCCAGCGGGGACAGGGTGGGCTGCCGGGGCCAGCAGGGTGCACTGTGGTGGAGTGCCTTCCACTCCAACCCCAGGCAGGAGTGTCCAATTCTTCCCATGCCCTGGGAGGCAGCAGGTGACGGCCCAAGTGCCCCCCACACAGGAGGCGGCCTGGCCCAGCCCGCCCAGCTGCTGCGGCCACTGGGCGGGAGCACCAGCAGTTGGGAGCTGTCGGTGACTTCTGCTAAAAGAAATGGAAGTTTGTGAAGAAAACTGTTGCTGGGTCAGCAGCAGGCTCAAGGGGCCAAGGGAGGTTCTGTGAACTCTTTGAGGAAGGACCAGCCACCTGCGCGGGTATAGGGGATTCTTAGGGAAGGAACAAGGCACAGATTTGTGGGAGGAAATAGAGACTTGGCAATCAGTTCCTAGAAAATGGAACTGCAACATATTTCTCTGCACAAAGTTTCAGAAATCCATGCATGGACTTTTTTTAAAAAAATTTGCATAGGCTGGAGCGAGAGGAGAGGCCTCCCCGATGCTGGCCTGGACAGCTGGGCCTTGCAGGAGCCCAGAAGCCAGGCCCGCCCTGGCGGCCTTGGGGCGGGGGCCGGCCCAGGGCCCGGGGTGTGCCGGTGGCGGAGGGGTGGGGCTGGGGGTTCCTGGAGGCCGGGAACAGGATGTGAGAGCGGAACTGGGGTCTCCAGTCACGGGAGCCGGGCACCCGGGAGAAGGTCGGGCACCCGGGAGAAGGAGGGCTGTGGGGGGGTGGTTGTGGGAGGGCGCAGGGCCCCGGGTGTGGGGGCCGACGGGGCGGTCCGGCAGCTCCGGTCGGTCACTCATTAACCCCAGCGTTCCTCCCGCGGGGCGAAGGTTCACGCGCGGCCTGCACGGCGCAGCCGGAGCCGCAGTCCCGGGCGGGCAGGCGGGCGGACGGGCGCGGGGCCACAGACGGGCGGGCGGGCGGGCGCGGGGCGGGCCCTGAGTCACGCGCCCCTCCCGCCGCAGCTCGGCCGCGCAGCATGGGGCGCCCCCGGCTCCTGCCCTGGGCGCTGCGACTCCTGCTCTGCCTGCTGCCTGCTGGGACGCTCGGAGCAGGTGAGGGAGAGCGGGGAACCGGGGCGTCGAGTCCCGGGCTTCCCGGTTCCATCGCTCTCTGTGGGTCTACCTTCTGCCGGGACTGGGCCCGGACCCACTGTCCCTCTGCCTGCAGGCCACTCTCGCTCCCTCTGGGTCTCTGTCTCTCTCAGTCTCTGTCCCCCCTCTCTCTTTGGGCCTCTGTCCCCACTCCAGACCTCTGCCACCTCTCTCTCTGTCCCACTAGCTAAGTGCCCGCCCCCACCTTGGCTTTCTTCACTTTTCTCTCCTCCTACACACGCAGGGAGCCATCTCTCCCTCCTGTACCATATCACGGCCGTCTCCAGCCCCGACCAGGGGACCCCTAACTTCTGGGTGTCGGGCTGGCTGGGGCCGCAGCAATACCTGAGCTACAGCAGCCGGCGCAATGAGGCAGAGCCCTACGGGGCGTGGATCTGGGAAGACCAGGTCTCCTGGTACTGGGAGAAGGAGACGATGGATCTGAGGAGCAAGCAGCAGCTCTTCCTGCAGGCGCTGTCCTTGCTGGGGCAAGGTGAGGCTGTACCACCTGGGGACCAGCGGGAGAGCCTGGGCATCCCCACCCAGCCCGCCTGCTGACCTGTGTGTCTGCATCCCAGGTTCCTACACCCTGCAGGGCCTGCTGGGCTGTGAACTGGATGCTAACAACGCCTCGGTGCCCACGGCCACGTTCGCCCTGAACGGCGAGGACTTCATGAGTTTTGACCCCAAGCAGGGCAATTGGAGTGGGGACTGGCCCGAGGCACTGACCATCGGCTCCAAGTGGCAGCAACAGGCGGAGGTGGTGAGCAGTGAGAAGGCCTTCCTGCTTACTTCCTGCCCCCAGCGCCTGCTGGGGCACCTGGAGAGGGGCCGCGGCAACCTGGAGTGGAAGGGTGAGCGCTCTCCTGGGGCCCTGGCGGGTTCTGTCCTCCCCCGTTGGCCTGCGCACCTGTCCCACTGTGCACCTGGCCTCTGGCTGTAGATGCAGGAAGATCAGTGTTGCTGAGGATTCCTTTTTTTCCTTTTATCGGTGCTGTTCCGCCTCCGTGGGGCTCAGCAATGACCATTCAGTGTGGTCCTTCTTGCTCTTTGCTGCCCTAGATGTCAGGGTCTGCATGTCATCTGTCAGAATTGCAGTGTGTTACTCTGCCAGTAAAGTGCTCTTGAAACAAAGTGTCAGCGGATTCCCAGTTGCTGACCCTGTGGTTGTCAGTGCTCTTAAGGCTCCAATGCCATCTGCTGAAGATCCACAGTCCTTCTGTCTCTTACTGCTGAGTTCCTGCACTCATTTGCACGCTGTGTTCTAGTTTTTCCAGTTCTCCATGCTGTCACTAGCTTCTCTCCTCTTAGCAGTGTCTTCCCCACAACAGAGGTTTTCATTTCCATCAAGTCTAGTGTCCTGCCTTTTTGGTTTCAGGGTGTGGAGGTTGTAGCTCTGAGGTCACAAGATCACCTCCATCTCTGCTTGCTTTTAGCAGTCCTATAGCTTTGCATGCAACGGGTCGGTAATTATAACATTAATTGGAATTCATTTTTATGATCTTGAATTGTAAGTTCCCTTTTTTTTTTGGTCCTTTTCCTTGTAGTTTTGTTTTGAAGAAAGCCAGGGGTCTGGCCAGCTGAGCTTCGCTGCTCAGGCGCTCAGGGTGGCTGCTGTGTGGTCTTTGTGTCTGCTCGTCAGACTCTGTGCCACACCACTCCGTCCAGTTTAGCAGACTGGTTTAGGTGTTGCCAAGGAATCCCCCCTAGTTTTCTTCCTGATTTTAGCAACCACCAGCACCCGCTACCTTGGTCTGTTATTTCCTTGGGTGCGTATCAGTTTGACTGTCTCCCTGAGGGGCATGATTCAAATCTTGTTCCCCAAAGTCCAGGTATTGATGGGACTAAGAGGTTGGGACGGGATGCGTCCATGCTGTAGAGAAGTAGTTGGGTTGACTGGGTTGGTAGCATGCGGTCCCTGTGATTGAATTATGGTGATTTAGGACAAGGTGTTAGGGTTAGGAGATTGGAGGGTAGGGACATGACGTAGTGCATTGAAGATAGCGTTGGGATTCTATCTTGCCTTTTTCATTTGTTGTCTGAAACTGCGAGCGGATCAGCCACTGCTCTCACTGGCTGACAACCAGTAGTTTCATTGTGTTTATTATTAGCCCCTAAATCTTTTTTTTTTTTAAGATTTATTTTATTTTTATTGGAAAGTCAGATATACAGAGAGGAGGAGAGACAGAGAGGAAGATCTTATGTCCAATGATTCGCCGGGCCCTGAACCCCTAGATCTTATAATCTTTTTTAATTTAAAAGATTTATTTAGGGGCATGGCATGGTAGCCTAGTGGCTAAAGTCCTTGCCTTGTGCACGCGCCGGGATCCCATGTAGGTGCTGGTTTGTATCCCGGCAGCTCCACTTCCCATCCAGCTCCCTGCTTGCGGCCTGAGAAAGCAGTCGAGGACGGCCCAAAGCCTTGGGACCCTGCACCCGTGTGGGAGGCCTGGAAGAGGCTTCTGGTTGGCTTCAGATTGGCCCAGTTCTGGCTGTTGCGGTCACGTGGGGAGTGACTCAGTAGATGGGCGATCTCTCTGTCTCTTGTTCTCTCTGTAAATCTACCTTCCCAATAAAAAAAAGGCCCCTCATCACGTTTTCCTTACCGTTTTTCCTTGAAAGGCAGAGTGACGCAGCGCACGAGACCAAGAGGCATTGATCCTCTCTCTGCTTGTTCACTCTCCAAACTCGTGCAGCACCCAGTGCTGACTCAGGCGAAGCCAGGAGCCTGGCTGACCTCCGCGGAGGGCTCCGCATGGGTGGCAGGGGCCCAAGCACTTGAGTCATTTTGTACTGTTTCCAGGAGGAAGTTGAACTGGAAGTCCAGACACCCTGATACAAGGTTACCCTGTTGTGCCTGCACGCTGCCTCTTACCATGTGTTCTAATTCATCATACACTTCATTCTCTTTAAATTGGATTCCAAGTCCTTTTGTTGTTGTTAAAGATTTATTTGATTTTTATTGAAAAGGCAGATATACAGGGAGGAGGAGAGACAGAGAAGAGGTTCTTCCGTCCATTGATTCACTCCCCAAGCGGCTGCAGTAGCCGGATCTGAGCTGATCTGAAGCCAGGAGCCAGAAACCCCTTTCGGGTCTCCAACATGGGTGCAGGATCCCAAGGGTTTGGGTCGTCCTCCACTGCTTTCCCAGGCCACAGGCAGGGAGCTGGATGGGAAGCAGGGCCACTGGGATTAGAACCAGCGACCATATGGGATCCTGATGTGTTCAAGGCAAGGACTCTAGCCACTGAGCCACTGCACGAGGCCCCCAAGTCCTTAAAAAAAAAAAAAGACTTATTTATTTATTGGAAAAGCAGATTAGATTTATGGAGAGAAGAAAAAACAGAGAGAAAGATCTTTCATCTGCTGGTTCACTCCCCAAATGGCTGCAACAGCCAGAGCTTACCCAATCAAAATCCAGGAGCCAGGAGCCTCTTCCGGGTTTTTCATGCAAGTGCAGGGTCCCAAGGCTTTGGACCATCCTCTGCTGCTTTCCCGGGCCGCAAGAAAGAGCTAGATGGGAAGTGGAGCAGACAAGTCAAAAACTAGCACCCACATGGCTGCCTCTGATTATCAGGCGAGCATTTACCCGCTGAGCTGGTGTCCTGAGGACAGATCCGAGTACTTTGAGGTGATCCTAGTAGGCATTTAAAACTTTCTTGTTGTGGAATGAAAGTCATCTTGGCCTGTCTTGCTATTCCCTCGTGCACGCCTAGAGCCATTTCCCCAAGCAGCCTTGGCTTTCCCAGGCCATAGGCAGGGAGTTGAATGGGAAGTGGGCAGTCAGGATAAACCAGCGCCTATATGGGATCCTGGTGCATGCATGGCAAGGACTTTAGCCACTAGGCTACCATGCCAGTCTCTTCTCTTGCTCTCTCTCTCTTTTTTTTTTTTAGTACTGAGCTGTAACTTACCTCTTGGTCCATTTTCTCCCGTGCCCATGTGCTTGTGCCAGATCAAGATGGAGAAGGCACCAGGCCTCCACCTGTCTTCTCTCTGACACCTCAGTGAGGCGTGGTTGTGTGGAAGCCCTTGAATCGGGCGGCTGCCTTTCACTCATGAGCCTCGTCTTGCTGGTGTGTCTCACCCAGTGGTTTTGGTGGCTGTGCGGTTTCTCAGTGGATATTTGATGTATTTCCTGATGGCGGATGTTGAGAATAAAGTTGCCAAGAACGTGTTTGTACATGGATTCGGACCTGCTTTCACTGAGTTGTAGTCAGGATGATCAAGTCAGAGGTAGGGCTGTGACTGTCTTTATTTAAAAATTTTAGAACTGGTTTGGTGGCATAGCAGCTAAAGTCCTCGCCTTGAACATGGCAGGATCCCATATGGTCGCTGGTTCTAATCCCAGTGGCCCTGCTTCACATCCTGCTTCCTGTTTGTGGCCTGGGAAAGCAACTGAGGATGGCTCAAAGCCTTGGGATCCTGCACCCACTCCTGGCTCCTGGCTTCAGATCGGCTCAGCTCCAGCCACTGCAGCCGCTTGGGGAGTGAATCATCAGATGGAAGATCCTCTTCTCTGTCTCTCTGTATATCTCCTCTGTCTCTCCTCCTCTCTGTATATCTGCCTTTTTCAATAAAAATCAAATAAATCCTTCAAAAAAATTTTTTTAATTGATTTGAAAATTAGAGAGACAATACTTCCATCTTTCGGTTCGCTCCCCAAACACCTGAACAGCCAGGGCTGCGTCAGATCGAAGTCATGAGCCAGAGCGCGCACCCGTCTCCCATGTGGGCCGCAGGGCTCCAAACACTTGCCCCATCACCTGCTACTTTTCAGGGTAGATCAGCAGGCAGCTGGAAGCCAGGAATGGAGCCAAGGTTAGAAGCCAGTTTTTTTTTTTGTTTTTTTTTTTTTTTCCGGATTGGTGCTGTGCCAATCCGAAGCCAGGAGCCAGGAACTTCTGGGTCCCCCACGCGGGTACGCGGGTGCAGGGTCCCAATGCTCTGGGCTGTCCTTGGTTGCTTTCCCAGGCCACAGGCAGAGAGCTGGATGAGAAGCGGTGCTGCCAGGATTAGAACCAGTGCCCATATGAGATCCCAGCATGTTCAAGGCGAGGCAAGGACTTTAGCTGTTAGGCTACTGTGCCAGGCCGAAGCCAGACATTTTGATGTGGAATGCTGATACGCCACACAGTGTGGCAGCTTAACCCTCTGTGCTACAACAGCAGCCCTAATCAGTCTGCTGAAGTTCATGTCTGGGTGAACGATGCATAGATTTTTTTTGTTTGTTTTCTGTTTTTACATGATTACTTTCTTCACTGCATGTGCATATTTTTCCGACGCCTGTGTTTTTGACAGTGTGTGTTTTGTGTGAGCTCTTTGCCGACACCCTCCAGCTATCCGCTGGGAAGCAGCAGGAAGCACAAAATGCAGAACTGCTGTTGCCTTTGCCCTTGGCCGCGGGCCTGACTGCAGCAAAATTTGCCGACTTGCCGGAGAAGCATCTCAAGAGAAACGCACTAGCTTCCCTCTTGACAGGAAAGCGCCAAGTGTGCCTCCACGGAGGGGCCCTGGTACCACGCCCAGGTGTGGGCCGGCTCTCCTGCAGCGGAGCCCTGGCAGCTCCCTTGTTTGTGAGCCAGTGGTCCAAATGCCTTACATACCAGACCTTAACCCTTCTTAACCCAGTCACCTCCTCCGGTTCTGCAGGCGGCCTGTCGCTCTGGTTACCTAAGGATTAATTTATTGGGGTCTGGCATGGTGGCATGGTGGCTCTGTGCTGGCATCCCATATGGGGCGCCTGTCAGCAAGCACTTTGAATTCCGTTTTCATAAGACCTTTCTGAAACTGTGTACTTTTGCACAAAACAGGATTAGAGTGCTTTCTCTTTGTCCTAAACTTTTAGTATTTCCTCCGGAAGAAAGAAAAAAAGAAAACAAAGCTGGAATGAGCTAGCCCCCTTGAGAACAGCAAATGGGTCCCCAGTACCTCCACAGGACCCAGCCTGGCATCATGTGGTGGCGTTCTCTGTGCCCCATTTACTTGAAAAGCAGTGAGACAGAGAGATCTCACATCTATTGCCGGTCCCATCTGTTGTCAGTTCACTCCCCAAAGAGCTGCAGTGGCCAGGAGCCAGAGAGCCACTCTGGGTCCCTGAATGGGTGCAGCAGTTCAAGTAGTGGGGCCATCATACTTTGCTGCTTTTCCAAGTACGTTAGCAGGGAGCTGAATCAGAAGTGGAGCAGCTGGGACTCAAATCAGTACTTAACTGGAGGACTGATATTGCAGGAAGTGGCTTAATATGCTGTGCCACAACCCCATCGCCTGGACCTTAAATTTTATTATTAGAGAAGTTTCAAGTTATGAATTAAAATGTTTAGGACCTGGCATGATGGCTCACTAAGTCCTCACCTTGCATGAGCCAGGGTCCCATATGAATGCTGGTTCATGTCCGGGCTACTCCACTTCCCATCCAGCTCCCTGCTTGTGGCCTGGGAAAGCAGTGGAGGACGGCCCAAAGCCTTGGACCCTGCACCTGTGTGAGACCCGGAAGAAGCTCCTGGTTCAGGATCAGCTGCAGCCGTTGTGGCTACTTGGGGAGTGAACCAGTGCATGGAGAATCTTTCTGTCCTCTCTGTAACTGGCTTTCCAATAAAAATAAATCTTTGTGTAAGTAGTTGTAAGAATAAAAGTTTCTGTCCTGGTACAGCCCTAGCTGTTTCACGCTCATTTGCGTTTTCCCACGGGTTGGCATTTCATGGTTCCACTGTTCTCTTCCTGTCCTGCCAATGCCAGCGGCACTTGCTCTCACTTCCTTGAGCAGGAGGCTGAGCTGCATCCGTACCAGGCTTTTACCTGCCTCATCTCACTTGGCAGGCTGTGTCCCAGCGGCTCCTGTTCCTTCTGTTCACAGCTCTGTTGCCCAGGTGCCTAGCTGCTCAGCCCGCCCTGGGCTTGCAAGGTGGGGCTCTAGCACCTGGCCGCCAGCCAACAGGCACCCCCCCCCCCCAGGCTCACCGGTGGACCTGCCTGTTTCCCACCCCTGCAGAGCCGCCCTCCATGCGCCTGAAGGCCCGGCCCAGCACCCCTGGCTTCTCCTTGCTCACCTGCAGTGCCTTCTCCTTCTACCCACCCGAGCTGCAGTTCAGATTCCTTCGTGACGGGCTGGCGGCCGGCGTGGGCTCTGGTGGCCTCGGCCCCAACGGCGATGGTTCCTTCTATGCCTGGTCGTCGCTCACGGTGAAGAGCGGGGATGAGCACCACTACCGTTGCGTGGTGCAGCACGCGGGGCTGGCGCAGCCCCTGGTCGTGACGCTGGGTGAGGCTCTCCACCACACGCTCTGTGCTGCGTCCTTGCTACCCCGTGCTCGCTCCAGCTGCTGGCCTTGCTGAACTGACCACCTGTTGCCCGCTGTGGCCGGTCGGCCCTACATCCGACTGCCTTCCTCCTGCCCTTGGCTCTGTGCTGGGATGCGCTGGGATGTCACCAGCCCTGCTGCTGCCGCTGCCGGCCACCCCACTGCTGGCCACCACGCTAACGTCCGAGCTGCAGAGTGTCTGGCCCTGAGACTGGGTGCTGCCAAGGAGGAGGCGGTTGGGAGGGATGAGGACACCCCAATTTCCTCCCAGTGGGACAGGTAGAGAGGCCCGGCAGTTCACAGCCCTCTCCATTGCTGCAGACTCACCTGCCGCCTCCTCCTCCGTGTTCGTGGTGGGAATAGTGGTCAGTCTCCTGCTGCTCGTGGCCCTGGCTGCCGGTGGAGCTGTGGTGTGGAGGAGGATGAAGAGCGGACGGCCAGGTGCGGGGCACCAAGAGGGTGCTCAGACAGCCCTGGGGCGGGCAGGCAGCGAGTGGAGGTGGGGTGTCCCAGAGTTGCTGACCTGGCCCCCCTTCTCTCTCCAGGCCCCTGGATCTTCCTCCGTGGAGATGACATTAGCACCCTCCTGCCCACCCCGGGTCTGCCCCAAGATGCTGACCCTCAGGACACTAACGCCTTCCCAGCGACCGCCTGAGAGGCCTCCCCACCCCGTGCTGGCTGCTGGCAGCGGCTGCGGTCGGTTCTCTTTCATGCTGTGAGACCCCTGGAATCCCGGCATCTCTGAGCCTCCAGGAGGACCCATGTTCCTGTGGTCTGCCTCAGTTTGCCCTCTTAATATACACGTAACATATAACACGAATTTGGATCCCAATCATGCTGTGTTCATCATTTCAAGTGTTGGAGCAAGCGCGGTGGGAGTGGGGGCGCTCCAGTTTCTACTGGGGAATCTACCCCTTTTTCTATGTATCTTTCCTTCACAAATATTTACGTCACACTTGTAAAGAATTCGTGCCTGAAGTCTGTCCCAGTGAAGCAAGAAGAGTTTTCCTTCTTTGAGGGACACTGGACCATCGGCAGCCTGCTTCCCACCCTTGGTTCATTCCAACAAAAGCCAAGAGAGAAATACATTTCCCATGAAACTTTGGGGGGTAGCGCCGCTGAAGGTGGTCGGCCAGGAGCCCCGAAGCCTGTCGGGATTTGTAGTTCGGCGTGGCCGCGTCAGCCGGCGTCACCCACCCCGCCTTCCCCGGGCGACCCCGCTCGCCTGTGGACGTGGCAAGGGGCGCCTGCGGCTCGTGGGCTCCGCCCCGTGGGGGGCTCCCGGGAGCGCTCGCCGGCGGCAGGGCGGGGCCTGCCGGGCGGCCACCTCGGGCATCTTGGAGCTCGGGGAGCAGGGAGCGCAGCGGAGCCGGGAGCCTGGGTAAAGGGGAGGGCGCGGGACAGGGCGGCAGGGTGCGGGGGTCAGGGTCCAGGCCCCGCGAGCGATGCCACAGGGCTCTGACCGGCTCACTGGCTACCACGATGCCTTGCACACCTCCCCCTGGAAGCCCTCCGGGGGGACCCTGTGGGATTGCAACTCCCAGCACCCCGGCCTGCATGTCCCCCTGGAGCCTCCACCTCTGCAGCCTGCTGCCCACCTCTCCTGGCCCATCCCACCAACAGCACCCCGCCACGTGGCCCCTTCCTCACCCCTTGGCCTTCCCCGCTCTCCAGGCATCGAGGATGTGGGCACCATCGCTGCTGCCGCCGCTGCTGCTGCTGCTGCTGCTGGTCCTGCTGCCCAGGCGCGGGGCGCAGGGGAAGCCGCCCCCGGACGCGAGCCCGCACGGCCAGGCCCGGGTGCACCAGGCGGCACCGCTGAGCGAGGCCCCGCATGACGATGCCCACGGCAACTTCCAGTATGACCACGAGGCTTTCTTGGGGCGGGACGTGGCCAAGGAGTTCGACCAACTCAGCCCGGAGGAGAGCCAGGCTCGCCTGGGGTAGGAGACTCGGGGCGTGCACAGGGCCGATGTGGGGCTCAGGGCTGCAGTGGACACCCGAGGCCACCGTGGGCCCCCTAGCCTGGGTTCGGCTGGCCCCTCTGTCCCCTTGGGGTTGTGCCTTGGAAATGCTCAGGGACAGACGCAGAGAAAGAGCCAGGAAGATGGTGGAGGTCTGTGTCTGAGGAGGAGCTGGCCTGAATGGGATCCAGTCGCCAAGGGGAGACAGGGAATGGTCCCTTCTGCTTGGGGCCACAGGGTCAGAGTGGGCCTGAGGGCAGGACCGTGCTGGCCCTGGGTCTTGGCTGGCCACTAGCATCCACCTGGAGCACCTTGCTAGGATGCCACATCACTGCTGTGAACCAGTCAGGCTCACCTGGTCCAGGGGGCAGCAAATAAGGAGCAGGGACCAGACAGGGCTGAGGGAACCGGGGGAGCAAGCTGGATGGGCAGGGCCCCATGCTGAGGCCCAAGATGGAGGGATGGGGAGACCCAGGGACAGGGAGACGGAGGGACAGGGAGACGGAGGGACGGGGGCCAGGGAACGGGGAGACGGAGCGACGAGGAGACCCAGGGACAGGGAGACGGAGGGACCGGGAGACTAAGGGAAGGGAGGCCAGGGAACGGGGAGACGGAGCGACAGGGAGACGGAGGGATAGGGAGACCCAGGGACAGGGAGACGGAGGGACAGGGAGACAGAGTGTTGGGGAGACTAAGGGACAGGGAGACGGAGGGTTGGGGAGACTAAGGGACAGGGAGACGGAGGGACAGGGAGACGGAGGGACAGGGAGACAGAGTGTTGGGGAGACTAAGGGACAGGGAGACGGAGGGTTGGGGAGACTAAGGGACAGGGAGACGGAGGGACAGGGAGACGGAGGGACAGGGAGACGGAGGGACAGGGAGACGGAGGGATGAGGAGACTAAGGGATGGGAGGCCAGGGAACGGGGAGACGGAGGGATGGGAGACCCAGGGAGACGGAGGGATGGGAGACCCAGGGACAGGGAGACAGAGTGTTGGGGAGACGGACGGACGGGGAGACCAAGGCCCAGGAGGCCTGAGGAGGAATGGCCAGGCCTGAGGGTGTGCCAGGGGGCCTTGTTGACATGTGGTGATTTCCTTCTGGCTGCCTGCTGGGTGCACCCTGGAGCACCGGAGCGGGACTCCCGTGGCCTGGAGGCCAGGTGAGCCGGCGGCCGGGGAGCCGCGTGAGGAGGGCCGGCAGCAAGCGTCCTGCGGGGCAGCGGGGTCAGCCTGGCGCAGACCGAGCTCCCGCAGCCAGCTTGTGGGGCAGTAACTGTCGTTGAATCCCCATGTTGTACGGGGGCCGTGAAGTCACTTTCCGCAGGTCCACAAGCCAAGGAGAGGCCGCAGAGGTCGCTCCGAGGGAATCCCACCAGAACCTTCGGGAAGGAAAGCGGGGCGGGGGCGGGGCGCAGCAGGGGGCGTGTCTGCGCTCCCTTGGGGCGGGGTCTGGGCGGAGGCGGGGCCTCGGACTCTCCCCGCCGGCCCCGTTTTCCTCCATATAAGGAGGGCTGTTTCAGGGGGCGTGGCCCGGCTCTGCGTGGGGCGGGGCCCGAGATGAGGGCGGGGCTGTGTCGGGAGTGACCTGTGGGGGGCGGGAGTGGATGTGAGGTGGGGCCTCGTTTTCCTCCATATAAGGAGGGCTGTTTCAGGGGGCGTGGCCCGGCTCTGCGTGGGGCGGGGCCCGAGGTGAAGGCGGGGCTGTGTCAGGAGACGGACCCGACGTGGGGGCGGGGCCTGAGCTGGGGGCGGGGCCGGCACTGACGCTCGCCCCGCCCCGGCTCGCAGGCGGATCGTGGACCGCATGGACCGTGCCGGCGACGGGGACGGCTGGGTGTCGCTGGCCGAGCTCCGCGCGTGGATCGCGCACACCCAGCAGCGGCACATTCGGGACTCGGTGAGCGCGGCCTGGGACACGTACGACACGGACCGCGACGGGCGCGTGGGTTGGGAGGAGCTGCGCAACGCCACCTATGGCCACTACGCGCCCGGTACGCGCGGGGCCCGGCCCTGCTCCCTGCATGCACGCTGCCCCTTCCTCTGAGAACCCTTCACCCCGTTATCCAGCACCTGTGACCTTTGACTCCTAGCCTGTATGTAACCAGGAGTCGGGAGGCTACACCTGCTAGGCCTCTAGACCTCTCAGACCCCCGACCCCACTCCGTCCTGGGGTTCACGTCCCTGACTAGGGGCCCCTTCCTTCCCGTCCCAGGGCCTCTACCACGTCTCACCCTGGGAGTCCCAGAGCCATCCACCCTGCCCCCTGACTCTCCACTTCAGTTGGTCCTTCCATGTTCAGGCTGACTCTTCATCTCCCCGGTTCATGACCCCCCATAGGAGACCCCGTATCTTCTCGACCTGGCCTTGCCTGCCATCACCTGGTGCTCATCTTCTGTGCCCCAGTGTCTCGGAGTCCCCCATCTTCTTACACCTCTGAGCTGGGCTTGAGGGGTCCCTGCGTGCACCATTCCTAGCTGCCTGCACTGGGACAAACCATTTCCTTTCTCTGGGAGTCTGCTTTCTCATCCTGAAATTGGCAAGGACTTCTGCAAAGGACTGGGTAGGGTAGGGTCTGTCCAGAGCTCGGCCTGCAAGGTGCTTGCACTACACGTTGGCTGAGAGACCCCTAGAAGAGTCCATTTTGTTTATTGTAGTGGACAGCATCAACTGGCATTGTAAGCCAGAGGGGTGAGGTTAGGATGCCGCTCCAGTCCCACTTGCCATCCCTGTATCAATTTCAACTCCAACTTCACACTCTGGGAGACAGCAGGTGGTGGTTCAGTTGCTTGGGTCCCGCCTTCCTGCACCCTGGGGTTCCTGCCTTCAGCTTGGCCCAGCCCTGACTGCTGCAGACATTGAAGCACAAAACTTGATGGGCGATTCTCTCTCAGTCTGCCTTTCAAATTCAATAATATAAACACATTTTAGTGCCACAGTGTGAGAGTTATGCATGTTTTTTCGCTCCTAAGGCATATCTGCCATGGACTTTGTGAGGCATGCTTTTGGGGGACACCAGCAACTGTTAGTTAGCTCCAGGGGCCTGGGGGTCCCTCGGCCCTCACCCTGTACCCATGCTCCTGCCCCAGGTGAGGAATTCCACGACGTGGAGGATGCCGAGACCTACAAGAAGATGTTGGCCCGGGACGAGCGGCGCTTCCGGGTGGCCGACCAGGACGGCGACCTGATGGCCACACGAGAGGAGCTGACCGCCTTCCTGCACCCCGAGGAATTCCCGCACATGCGGGACATCGTGATTGCCGTGAGTGACTGTGGCTCCTGGGGGCCAGCCCTGGGCGCCCAGGGTGACCGGAGCAGCCTGCGGAAGGGGCGTTGTCCCCAAAGCCCCACCCAGCACCCAGAGAGGCTGAGCCTGGGGCCAGCTCCTCCCCCCGCTGTAGGGGGCCCCTCACTCCCACCCCTAACGCCTCTTCATCCCCCCCAGGAGACCCTGGAGGACTTGGATACCAACAAAGATGGCTTCGTGCAAGTGGAGGAGTACATCGGTGAGTGGCCTTGTCCCCAGAGCTGGCAGTGGCACTGCTGGAGGTCCCGCACCCACCAAGCCTTGATTAGGCACCTACCCATCACTGTGGCGTGCCAGGCCCCTGGGACATATAACTGTCAGGCTGAGCTAGTTTTTTATTGGGCGCTGAATGTATACTGTGGTTGACCGAACACAGAGTGAGAAAGTAAGCCTCCATTTCTTGGGGGAGGGACCCCCCTCCAGCCAGTCTCTGCCCCGGCTGCAGAGTCACGAGCCTTGCTGGGGGTGGAGGCAGAGCAAGATCACCACAGCCCAGAGCTCCATGCAGAAATGTGTCTGATCCTGCGGGCAGGTGAGAGGCCCCAGGCACCGCTGGGGCATAA